ATAAACTTAGACATTTTCAGTGAAACGAAAAATTCCTGATATGACGATTAAACCGTCCAAATGAGTGCCACAAACTTAAGCCCTTTGGAAAGAAAAAAAAAAAAAAAAAAATACAGCTACATGGCTTTACTTCTCAGCTACCGGACCGTACATGTTTCCAATTAAACCATTTGGTAAAACAACGGACTGGAACTTTTTAGGCATGGACCTGCTTGTGTCCATTGTACAGAGATGGAATCCGCAGATTCTCTCCTGGTCGTGCGATTGGCCGTACGGTCCCATCGATAATAAATCTAAAACAGTTGTCTACAGGTGAACCGCTCGACGTGATGGCTGCCACGTACATCTCAAGATGATCGGGACTCAAGATGTCAAGACTCCACTGGGTAAGCCGTCGACCATGGATAGCATATTTGTGGTCAATCAAGATATTCGTAACCGTGCTCAATACAGGGACTGGCTTCGCAAATCGCTGAATCTGCAAGGATATGATAACCGCCTAAGCAGCATACATAGCCCCTCTATTCCACCACAAATCGATCTTTGGTCGTATCGTATGGTTTATGGAATTTCCCAAAACTTCTGTCAGCGAGAGAATGTCCCCCTTCCTGAATCTACATGTAAACTCCGCGAGACTCTCAGACTCAGCCATCTCATCTAGGTTGAATTTGGCGTAAGCTTCGTGAGGGAAGTCCGGATTTCTTGGCTCGAACAGGTAGGTAGGTAGGTAGGTAAAACTTTATTTATGCAGGGTGGCCCATTCAGCACAGTGGCTGGTATCCAGAGGGGCCCTGCTAAATAAAATTTCTAAAAATATAAAATGTCTAATAGTTTAAAATAGTTATAAAAATAGAGTTAAAAAAAAACTAATGTCTAGTAGTTGAAATAGTTATATAAAAAGAGTTTAAAAAATTGAAACGAGTTACAAGCATGAACTGTTAGGGAAAAAAAATAGATATCATAAATAAAAATAGATATCATAAAAGGTCGTATGGTATCAAGAATTCCGCATCTTCAATGAAATTTGATCCATGACTAAGAAGAAGAAGATTTTAGACGTCTCTAAACGATGTCATTTCTTAAACTGACGAAGCGAGAATAAACAAGATTTCAGACGTCGTCGTCCTTGAGCAACATCGCTGCTTAAGTTTCATTTTTCCCGCCAAAAACGACGTCCTCGTCGAGATCATGAGAATTTCAACAACGACAGCAAAAACAACTAGCTTTTTGAAGGTAAATTGACCAACATGACACGAGCGTGGGGCAAAGAAAAAATCTGAGTCCCCGAAAGGAATCGAACCCATGACGTCACCATTCACATTTCATTACCGAGCTTAAAATTCATCATCTTTATTCACTTAACAACTACGTTTATTTCCATGACCATAAATACAAAGAGAGCTGCAAACGCTTTTGTAAACTAAAGCTAAAACGATGATTTCCGTGAACATGTAGTAAGGCTATGCAGAAACATATCACCTAGAACTAGGTGATATGCTTCTGGGCTATGATATAGCAATTAAGTTACATCGGTTTGATTTGAACGTAGAATATCGTGTTGATCAAAGCAGGATGGAATGAACTTTGCTCATAGACCACTCAGCAGTTGTCTGCTCAGTGACCTGGCTTTTGAATGGCAGCGAGGTTGTTTAGATACAGACCTCACTGCTCTTGTTGTGTAAATCAAGTAGTTCTAATGCGAGGTCTTAACATTTATATTTTATATATCACCAAGTGTACCATGTTGATTATCAATTTTTACATTCATCAGTACTTACAATCATGCAGAGTACGTAAGCCAAACCTATTATCATTTCTCTTATCTACAACTGGCAATTTAACAGTAGTTTGACCTACACATCGCCTTTTAAAAACTTTATCACCGCTTAAACCTGTGAAAATACCTAGAAATCAACAGCAGTAGCCACTGATTGCAACCACACTCGTGACAGTAATTCTTTGCCGTATTATAAAGCTTCAGTCTTACAAAATGGGATTTCTTTGAAAAAAGAATATAGTCTCCTTTTAATAGGGAATTTCCCAGGTTTTCTTGTCGCCTCAGACATATGGCAACTCGATCAGAGCGTACAACTCGCAACTTCGTATGAATTCTACGCAACATCGACTGGCTCCAATCTCCGAGCCTATCCTAATCCAGTCTTAATCTCTTAGGGAAAAGTTCCTAACATATTCATGTTACGTTGTAAAGTGTACATAGTTTGTTACGTAACCAGCCTTTCTCACTGTTCCCTCTTCTTTGACTCAAAAAGACTCCTAAGAGGTCCCGGAAAGTCGTAATTAAACATCTCAAAGTTGGCTCTGAACAATCGACCAAAGATGTCGATCCATTCCATGGGAATCTGCGAGTAATAATTGAGTAAAGAGGAGGCGGTATCGGATTTATTGCTGGCGCGAGCATCGAATCTCTCTGCCTCTTCAGGCGATAACTCTGCTGCCTCTTTGAAATCTGCCAAGTCTTGATCAAAAGTTTCGTAATGACCTATAAAGTCATAGTTGATAGCACACATTCCACATATGTTGACGTAATTGTCCCAGTGCCAGTCCATAACTGGGGTGGTCTCGTTGCTTCCTTTGGTTACTAAATATTGAATAAATTCACGAAAAGTGATGTCATCGAGCTTTTCAAGTGCTCTACGGGAAGCGTTTGGACGGACGTTTTCTAGAATTGCTGTGCCGTGACGTTTAAGTTTGTGTTTGGGAAATCTTGGATAAACAAACTTGTCTTTGTACGCTGACAGAATGCGCTCGAACGGCTCACGGACAAACGTGAACTTGAAAAATGTTTCCAACATCAGCTTTTGCTGGGCAGGAGGAAACTCACCCAATTTTATCTTCTTTCCACTCCTGTTGAAAGGATACAGCATTCCTCTCCACTGCCTGGAAGCAACTTTAGGCATGATGCAGTACAATATTTTTAGACTTGGAATAGCTACTATGTGAAAAAGGTTTGGCAGGGCATTGTTCCCAGTCTTTCGACAAAACGTTTCGGCCAGTTTTCTGCGTTCTTGTTGTCTAAACGCCCTCGGAGTGCTGAAACTATATGATTCCTATGAATGAGAAAAAGAATAAGTAGTTTTTTTTTCAGTCATAACAATCAACAGATTTTTTTAATGAGTGACATTTGTCAGCTTGTAACAAACTAGGAACACTGGGCGAAAGTAAAAGTGTCGTAGAGTAATCAAGCCGGAATACATAATTTACACCGCACCTGGAATATACAAATCAATAGCCAGGCCGGAAAAAAGATCTGATTCTAATAGGAAATTCAAGGTAGATTTCGAGTCGGGCGTTCTTGAATACCTCAGAATATTATGGTATACGCGGCTTTTGCTGATCCATTTAGGGTTTTGCGCAGTATGCGCTAAGAATGCACATATTAGCTTTGTGTTTAACCAATTTTCTAAATCAGCTGGTATAACAGTCAGGTCTACAATCTAATTATCTTTCAATACTTACGCTAAACTTAATTTGTTCTACCCGTTAATAATTCAAATCAACTCAATCCAAGTATCAAAATTTCTGTTTTATTGTCATAATTAATTGTTGCCCCCCGATGTTTGTCAAATTGCTTGTAGCAGAGATGGAAGTTCACAATAAGTACATTTAACCTCTTTCTCAAAGCGAGTCTTGTTGCCCTTCCTGTCATATGATAATGAGATTTCATTCACATGCGAATTAAACTTATTTTAATATGAATGGTTGTGCACCGGGCCAAGCTTTGATAGAGAACCTTGAGGCAAGTCGAAAATGGGCTATTGTGGCACGAGAATAGCCAGTAGTTATCGATCACTTCCCTGTCGTTTCATAGCACAACACATGTATGTTAACTGAACAAGGTCCACAACCAAATTACCTTGACTCAAAATGAACTGCTGATTCACGTATGCTATACATATTATAACCAGCTCCAACTCAATTCAGGAGATGTGAATGTGGCGATCATGAACTATCATTTAATGACTTCAGTCTGCAATAGACTGTGGTTCAAGTTGGTTTCATAACAGTGATCCAATGCCAATCAAAATTAATTGTATTCCAATTGTAATTTGATTTTTGTATTACTTGCTTAGTTACATATACTACTTGAACTTTCCAAAAGAGATTTAAGTCATTTCAAGAGTTACCCACTCTTAACTAATTATATCACGTAAATGTAAGCAGGCACATGTATTCTATGCAGACCTATATTTTGCCCTTTTTATGGAATTCTTCAACCTTCCGAATAACTTTCAATACTTCTTCTCAATCCACTAATTCCTCTGTTTTATTCGACCTACGTTTTTTTACACCTATCCAATTCATCCATGGGCTGTCTCACAGGAGCCTTAATTTCTTTGTATCATACCTGTGTAGTCGGCTCATTTGAGTCCTCCTTTAGAGCCCGTTCAGCATGACTTTGCACTAAAAGCAACGAAAACACAGGAAGCATTATAAATTTTATGTGGAGGGAGGCCTAGTAATTAGGATCCTGAACTTGTAATCCGGTATTTCCTTGAATGTAATTTTAAAATGATTGCAGAACAAATTCGTTGAATAATTCGCTGCTGCTACAATTTCTCCCACGATAGAATCAGCGCCGATATACAAATCCTCTCTGGGAAGGCGACTCCCATGCGAAAAGGTCAGGGATGCTTGTCCGAAAATTTGGATTAAACCTCTAAAGGAGACTAATCTCGGCGTGGCTCCAGCGTTATTGTACCGCCAAAAGATACCATTTTAAACGGACATGACAGCGCTTCGTTATTTTGTCTTCGAGTACAACCCTAAGAGATATTTTGACAGCCAAAAATTGTGGCGTCGTGTCCTGAACACCCCATAGCTAAGTGAGACCGAAATCCGTAAATTACAACCCAAAGCGAGACGACCAGCGTCCCTGACCTTCCTCACATGAGAGTTCCCCACCCCCTACCCCGGGTACAATTGTTTCAACTCAGCTTCACTTCGGACATTCCAAGGAGTCTCATCCATTCCGTCTTGGACCCATTCACCGCTAGCAAAGTATGCTTGCTGAGTATCAGTCCTCTGACGAGAGTCAGTTTCCTTTCCTTCCTTTTTCCTCCCAAACAAAGACCGTGACGCCGTCCCGGTTTTAGTGAATTGTTGAAGAGAGAGAAAATCAGTTGTAATAGCCAATTGGTCTGCCTCCTGCCGGTTAGGATTAATTTTTAACCATTTACGTTTATTTGAAATATTTGTTTCCTTTGTTTCAGTGGCATGCCTGTAGACTAGCTAAGCTTAATGCTTGTATTACTAAGTGGATGACCGCTATAAATAAGATTTACATTTACATTTTTACATTAGTTAAATTTTGGTTAGCGTTCTATCACGATTCCCGTTACTGGCTACGCTACACACTATCTATTTTGTTGCTGATAGTGAGTATCTTGAGCTCATGGTAACTGTTAAATAGAAATCTCGAGCTCATAAGACACGACACATGAGAACAGGCTTTCAAAAAGTGTACCACACTTTCTCAGTTGGACATTACAGCCTTGCGCATAGGGCAAATGAACATAATAATACCACTTTTGTAATTTTGTAGCGTCAGTGCGCGTATAAGATAATTTTTAACAATGTCACAATAGCCGGGTTTTTTTTTAATAAGAAGGTTTAAGTAATAAACATACGATCACTCAGTGTTTGTTATACGTTCGATCCTGTATTCATTATGTTCACGAAGATGCATATGGCTTTCGCTGATCGCGAGACAACCGAATGAACAAACTAGTTCTTAATAACTCATCATTTTAGTCACATACATGTCATTAGATGCGTTAGCACCTTGACGAGCCCTCGGACCCGGATCGAAAATAAAACATTTAGAGTCATACTTTACTGCTCAGTTCAGTAAGAAAAAAAAATTCTTCCGCGAAAGTTTGACTTCGAGTCGTTTTTGTAGCTCTGGAGAGAAAGGAATGAGAAAGCGGGCATGAAATTAAACCTATTAAACCTATAAACCTGTATATAATTCATTTGTATGATATTTTATTGTGTTTCACTAGTAGCAGGTAAATTCCACACGTAATTCAGTCGCATGACTGCTAGGTGTGTATTTTTTAGTAAAAGATTTGTCTATCTATCTAAGCATTCCCAGCCTTCGAATTTAGACGTATTAAGCTCCGGCCAAACGATCGCAACATTGTTGGGCGCAACAGTGTTGCGCGCGTTTGACTACGCTGTAGCAACGCGTTGTGACGTGTAGAGTGTTGCTGGCTAAAGTTTGAAAATGGTCAAAGTTGAACCAACAGATCGCAACACGGCGCCATAGGGTGACCAAACTCGCAATGTTGCGATGTATGTTGGTTTCAAAAGTTGCGATCTTTTAGTGTATTCCATTCTCGCGTTCATTACATGCACTCAGTTGGGTATTAAATTGAATTATAAAGTCATGTAGTTCACGATCTGTTTAATGAAACTTAAAAGCTGAGGGCCTGTGGATTATAGTAACCACAAGACCCGGGTGTGCTCTTTAAGTTCTTGTGTGGAAAAATTCTAACACGGGAACACGCTTTACATTGTGGATTATAAGACAAACCTTTACCTGTGTCCAGTTTAATTTGCCCTGGATGGCGCCCTAGACACAACTGGTATCTCGCGTAGATTAACAATATCCCAATAGTCAAAAGAGTGGTCAAAAAAAGAAATTGCTGTATCTTCCCGTTCATCGTTTCAACGATTCAACGTGACCAGATTTAAATATAACGATGATGAACTTAGGCTTCGAGAAAAATGAAAGGACCCCCTGGACAGAATTTTTGTGGAGAGCAAAGCTCGTCATGGTAATATAACAATGGACTGATGATTTGGAGCTAGGCAGTAAGTTCTTGAACACGAGGTACGGTAGGGTTTGGAAGTTTGTGCAACTGTTCAAAGAACACAGGAGTCCCTTGTAAGATGCTCTCGATTTCTTCGTAATATTAGCCTTGAAGTCTGACAAAATAGGTCACTAGCTCTTCGTTTATCTGTGCGGCGGTTTCAAATGGCTCTTTGAAAGGTTAAGTTTTGTGAAAACGTTGGCAACATTTGGAATTATTAATGCAACAGATTCATTTATACAAAATNCAAAAACAACTAGCTTTTTGAAGGTAAATTGACCAACATGACACGAGCGTGGGGCAAAGAAAAAATCTGAGTCCCCGAAAGGAATCGAACCCATGACGTCACCATTCACATTTCATTACCGAGCTTAAAATTCATCATCTTTATTCACTTAACAACTACGTTTATTTCCATGACCATAAATACAAAGAGAGCTGCAAACGCTTTTGTAAACTAAAGCTAAAACGATGATTTCCGTGAACATGTAGTAAGGCTATGCAGAAACATATCACCTAGAACTAGGTGATATGCTTCTGGGCTATGATATAGCAATTAAGTTACATCGGTTTGATTTGAACGTAGAATATCGTGTTGATCAAAGCAGGATGGAATGAACTTTGCTCATAGACCACTCAGCAGTTGTCTGCTCAGTGACCTGGCTTTTGAATGGCAGCGAGGTTGTTTAGATACAGACCTCACTGCTCTTGTTGTGTAAATCAAGTAGTTCTAATGCGAGGTCTTAACATTTATATTTTATATATCACCAAGTGTACCATGTTGATTATCAATTTTTACATTCATCAGTACTTACAATCATGCAGAGTACGTAAGCCAAACCTATTATCATTTCTCTTATCTACAACTGGCAATTTAACAGTAGTTTGACCTACACATCGCCTTTTAAAAACTTTATCACCGCTTAAACCTGTGAAAATACCTAGAAATCAACAGCAGTAGCCACTGATTGCAACCACACTCGTGACAGTAATTCTTTGCCGTATTATAAAGCTTCAGTCTTACAAAATGGGATTTCTTTGAAAAAAGAATATAGTCTCCTTTTAATAGGGAATTTCCCAGGTTTTCTTGTCGCCTCAGACATATGGCAACTCGATCAGAGCGTACAACTCGCAACTTCGTATGAATTCTACGCAACATCGACTGGCTCCAATCTCCGAGCCTATCCTAATCCAGTCTTAATCTCTTAGGGAAAAGTTCCTAACATATTCATGTTACGTTGTAAAGTGTACATAGTTTGTTACGTAACCAGCCTTTCTCACTGTTCCCTCTTCTTTGACTCAAAAAGACTCCTAAGAGGTCCCGGAAAGTCGTAATTAAACATCTCAAAGTTGGCTCTGAACAATCGACCAAAGATGTCGATCCATTCCATGGGAATCTGCGAGTAATAATTGAGTAAAGAGGAGGCGGTATCGGATTTATTGCTGGCGCGAGCATCGAATCTCTCTGCCTCTTCAGGCGATAACTCTGCTGCCTCTTTGAAATCTGCCAAGTCTTGATCAAAAGTTTCGTAATGACCTATAAAGTCATAGTTGATAGCACACATTCCACATATGTTGACGTAATTGTCCCAGTGCCAGTCCATAACTGGGGTGGTCTCGTTGCTTCCTTTGGTTACTAAATATTGAATAAATTCACGAAAAGTGATGTCATCGAGCTTTTCAAGTGCTCTACGGGAAGCGTTTGGACGGACGTTTTCTAGAATTGCTGTGCCGTGACGTTTAAGTTTGTGTTTGGGAAATCTTGGATAAACAAACTTGTCTTTGTACGCTGACAGAATGCGCTCGAACGGCTCACGGACAAACGTGAACTTGAAAAATGTTTCCAACATCAGCTTTTGCTGGGCAGGAGGAAACTCACCCAATTTTATCTTCTTTCCACTCCTGTTGAAAGGATACAGCATTCCTCTCCACTGCCTGGAAGCAACTTTAGGCATGATGCAGTACAATATTTTTAGACTTGGAATAGCTACTATGTGAAAAAGGTTTGGCAGGGCATTGTTCCCAGTCTTTCGACAAAACGTTTCGGCCAGTTTTCTGCGTTCTTGTTGTCTAAACGCCCTCGGAGTGCTGAAACTATATGATTCCTATGAATGAGAAAAAGAATAAGTAGTTTTTTTTTCAGTCATAACAATCAACAGATTTTTTTAATGAGTGACATTTGTCAGCTTGTAACAAACTAGGAACACTGGGCGAAAGTAAAAGTGTCGTAGAGTAATCAAGCCGGAATACATAATTTACACCGCACCTGGAATATACAAATCAATAGCCAGGCCGGAAAAAAGATCTGATTCTAATAGGAAATTCAAGGTAGATTTCGAGTCGGGCGTTCTTGAATACCTCAGAATATTATGGTATACGCGGCTTTTGCTGATCCATTTAGGGTTTTGCGCAGTATGCGCTAAGAATGCACATATTAGCTTTGTGTTTAACCAATTTTCTAAATCAGCTGGTATAACAGTCAGGTCTACAATCTAATTATCTTTCAATACTTACGCTAAACTTAATTTGTTCTACCCGTTAATAATTCAAATCAACTCAATCCAAGTATCAAAATTTCTGTTTTATTGTCATAATTAATTGTTGCCCCCCGATGTTTGTCAAATTGCTTGTAGCAGAGATGGAAGTTCACAATAAGTACATTTAACCTCTTTCTCAAAGCGAGTCTTGTTGCCCTTCCTGTCATATGATAATGAGATTTCATTCACATGCGAATTAAACTTATTTTAATATGAATGGTTGTGCACCGGGCCAAGCTTTGATAGAGAACCTTGAGGCAAGTCGAAAATGGGCTATTGTGGCACGAGAATAGCCAGTAGTTATCGATCACTTCCCTGTCGTTTCATAGCACAACACATGTATGTTAACTGAACAAGGTCCACAACCAAATTACCTTGACTCAAAATGAACTGCTGATTCACGTATGCTATACATATTATAACCAGCTCCAACTCAATTCAGGAGATGTGAATGTGGCGATCATGAACTATCATTTAATGACTTCAGTCTGCAATAGACTGTGGTTCAAGTTGGTTTCATAACAGTGATCCAATGCCAATCAAAATTAATTGTATTCCAATTGTAATTTGATTTTTGTATTACTTGCTTAGTTACATATACTACTTGAACTTTCCAAAAGAGATTTAAGTCATTTCAAGAGTTACCCACTCTTAACTAATTATATCACGTAAATGTAAGCAGGCACATGTATTCTATGCAGACCTATATTTTGCCCTTTTTATGGAATTCTTCAACCTTCCGAATAACTTTCAATACTTCTTCTCAATCCACTAATTCCTCTGTTTTATTCGACCTACGTTTTTTTACACCTATCCAATTCATCCATGGGCTGTCTCACAGGAGCCTTAATTTCTTTGTATCATACCTGTGTAGTCGGCTCATTTGAGTCCTCCTTTAGAGCCCGTTCAGCATGACTTTGCACTAAAAGCAACGAAAACACAGGAAGCATTATAAATTTTATGTGGAGGGAGGCCTAGTAATTAGGATCCTGAACTTGTAATCCGGTATTTCCTTGAATGTAATTTTAAAATGATTGCAGAACAAATTCGTTGAATAATTCGCTGCTGCTACAATTTCTCCCACGATAGAATCAGCGCCGATATACAAATCCTCTCTGGGAAGGCGACTCCCATGCGAAAAGGTCAGGGATGCTTGTCTGAAAATTTGGATTAAACCTCTAAACGAGACTAATCTCGGCGTGGCTCCAGCGTTATTGTACCCCCAAAAGATACCATTTTAAACGGACATGACAGCGCTTCGTTATTTTGTCTTCGAGTGCAACCCTAAGAGATATTTTGACAGCCAAAAATTGTGGCGTCGTGTCCTGAACACCCCATAGCTAAGTGAGACCGAAATCCGTAAATTACAACCCAAAGCGAGACGACCAGCGTCCCTGACCTTCCTCACATGAGAGTTCCCCACCCCATACCCCGGGTACAATTGTTTCAACTCAGCTTCACTTCGGACATTCCAAGGAGTCTCATCCATTCCGTCTTGGACCCATTCACCGCTAGCAAAGTATGCTTGCTGAGTATCAGTCCTCTGACGAGAGTCAGTTTCCTTTCCTTCCTTTTTCCTCCCAAACAAAGACCGTGACGCCGTCCCGGTTTTAGTGAATTGTTGAAGAGAGAGAAAATCAGTTGTAATAGCCAATTGGTCTGCCTCCTGCCGGTTAGGATTAATTTTTAACCATTTACGTTTATTTGAAATATTTGTTTCCTTTGTTTCAGTGGCATGCCTGTAGACTAGCTAAGCTTAATGCTTGTATTACTAAGTGGATGACCGCTATAAATAAGATTTACATTTACATTTTTACATTAGTTAAATTTTGGTTAGCGTTCTATCACGATTCCCGTTACTGGCTACGCTACACACTATCTATTTTGTTGCTGATAGTGAGTATCTTGAGCTCATGGTAACTGTTAAATAGAAATCTCGAGCTCATAAGACACGACACATGAGAACAGGCTTTCAAAAAGTGTACCACACTTTCTCAGTTGGACATTACAGCCTTGCGCATAGGGCAAATGAACATAATAATACCACTTTTGTAATTTTGTAGCGTCAGTGCGCGTATAAGATAATTTTTAACAATGTCACAATAGCCGGGTTTTTTTTTTAATAAGAAGGTTTAAGTAATAAACATACGATCACTCAGTGTTTGTTATACGTTCGATCCTGTATTCATTATGTTCACGAAGATGCATATGGCTTTCGCTGATCGCGAGACAACCGAATGAACAAACTAGTTCTTAATAACTCATCATTTTAGTCACATACATGTCATTAGATGCGTTAGCACCTTGACGAGCCCTCGGACCCGGATCGAAAATAAAACATTTAGAGTCATACTTTACTGCTCAGTTCAGTAAGAAAAAAAAATTCTTCCGCGAAAGTTTGACTTCGAGTCGTTTTTGTAGCTCTGGAGAGAAAGGAATGAGAAAGCGGGCATGAAATTAAACCTATTAAACCTATAAACCTGTATATAATTCATTTGTATGATATTTTATTGTGTTTCACTAGTAGCAGGTAAATTCCACACGTAATTCAGTCGCATGACTGCTAGGTGTGTATTTTTTAGTAAAAGATTTGTCTATCTATCTAAGCATTCCCAGCCTTCGAATTTAGACGTATTAAGCTCCGGCCAAACGATCGCAACATTGTTGGGCGCAACAGTGTTGCGCGCGTTTGACTACGCTGTAGCAACGCGTTGTGACGTGTAGAGTGTTGCTGGCTAAAGTTTGAAAATGGTCAAAGTTGAACCAACAGATCGCAACACGGCGCCATAGGGTGACCAAACTCGCAATGTTGCGATGTATGTTGGTTTCAAAAGTTGCGATCTTTTAGTGTATTCCATTCTCGCGTTCATTACATGCACTCAGTTGGGTATTAAATTGAATTATAAAGTCATGTAGTTCACGATCTGTTTAATGAAACTTAAAAGCTGAGGGCCTGTGGATTATAGTAACCACAAGACCCGGGTGTGCTCTTTAAGTTCTTGTGTGGAAAAATTCTAACACGGGAACACGCTTTACATTGTGGATTATAAGACAAACCTTTACCTGTGTCCAGTTTAATTTGCCCTGGATGGCGCCCTAGACACAACTGGTATCTCGCGTAGATTAACAATATCCCAATAGTCAAAAGAGTGGTCAAAAAAAGAAATTGCTGTATCTTCCCGTTCATCGTTTCAACGATTCAACGTGACCAGATTTAAATATAACGATGATGAACTTAGGCTTCGAGAAAAATGAAAGGACCCCCTGGACAGAATTTTTGTGGAGAGCAAAGCTCGTCATGGTAATATAACAATGGACTGATGATTTGGAGCTAGGCAGTAAGTTCTTGAACACGAGGTACGGTAGGGTTTGGAAGTTTGTGCAACTGTTCAAAGAACACAGGAGTCCCTTGTAAGATGCTCTCGATTTCTTCGTAATATTAGCCTTGAAGTCTGACAAAATAGGTCACTAGCTCTTCGTTTATCTGTGCGGCGGTTTCAAATGGCTCTTTGAAAGGTTAAGTTTTGTGAAAACGTTGGCAACATTTGGAATTATTAATGCAACAGATTCATTTATACAAAATATTACTAGGGTGGTTTGTCTCCGTTGATTCATCTTTGATATTTTAAACTAAATATCCGTTAGACTATGCTGATTTACGCGCGCCAATTTTTCAAAATCAGACTAGTTTTCCACACGCTTTATCTCTGAAACGAAGTCCGTGACCTTAGTAGACGTTCGAAGAAAATATATCGAGTAGAACATTTTCGCGCTAACGTCCTTAAGTCTTTTTTTTTCAGTAATACCTAATGAACAGCTGTTGTTTCCACGGTGTTCATATGTTTCGAGGCCAAGGCGTGACAAACCTTAAGGAAGTTTTACTGTACCTTTCAATAACATGCGGACTCTAAAATTCAAATCTCGACCGACAAATGCGTTTTTCGCTACCGTCAATCAAGTGTTCGGCGGCTCCTCCTAGCTTCCGACTACTGCTGAGCGCGCGGTAATCAAATAGTTGAGCAAAGTTCAGACAGCGAAACAGTGCTCGGCAGTAGTCGGAAGCTGGGAGGAGCCGCCGAACATTTGATTGACGGTAGCGAAAAACGTATTTGTCGATTGAGCTTTGAAATTTAGAGTCCGCATGTTATTGAAAGGCGCAGTAACACTCGTGTCTTCTCTTTACATAAATTTATGGCATACGTGAAATTGAAACATATAGATTGTCACAAAATGTAATTCCGAAGATTGCTACGGACAGTATGGAAGAGGTTTTCGTTTTTCTCCCGCAATGGCCTTGGAGAAATTGTTAGGTACCTAATCTGAATATTGATAAAACCTCACGCGGTTTTGTAGAATAGCTCCATGTGATTGATACTGGGGAGGCAGCCCCGGGGATGCTGTAGGTTTGTTTTGTGCGGCGAATTTGATACCCGATTGTGCTCTTTCATGTTTACACGAACATGTTTTGTAAGAATATTTTAAGAATAAACTAGACGCTAAGATTTCGAATAGAATATAATTTTGTGCGTTGAAAATGTATAAATTCAATGCAAAGATATGTTTTCAAGGAAACTGTGTAAAGTTAGTTCTTTCTCTAAACAGCAAAACTAGTCAAAAACCAACAAAAACAGCATAAGACATATGCTCAATGTTAAAAACATTTCTGCAAGAAGTTATGTGCGTGATATGAAGTTTTAATGCCTGCAGGCTGGCTCCAGTATTCACCAGCCAGACACCAAATACATTCGAAAACAGAAATGCCATACGCTATAATAATAAGAATATTCGCAAGGATATTTTCAGCCTAAAATCGACAGAAAGAATATTCAGCCTCGGCCGGAAAAATAATATTCTCATCAAAAAGAGAGTACTTCATTGGAAGTAACGTCCGTTGTTTTGCGCTTCTAGGTCGCTGTTTTTGTGCAGTTTAGATGAAATCGGAGAGAAAAAATTCTTATAAGCCAGCATATATTTTAAGTTTTGCATTAATGGATATATAATTTGCGGTGGTTCACTTTAAAACGGTGCGTTGTCAATTGTTTTTAGCAAAGAACACCCGCGAAAGGTAACCTCAGCAACTGTTTCGTCTTCTAAAAATGTGTAATAATGGTAGCCCAGTCTTCTAGTCATTAGAAAAAGGGTGTTAGGACGCTCAGGGTGTGAGCTTTTCCTTGGAACCCTGCTTGAAAACTTAGTACTATCACAATGGGGATTACCAATGTGAAAGACGAAGCCTAGGCATTGTCTCCGTGAGAAAAACAAATGGTTTTCGACTTGACTACTCTCCTCTAAGCGTTGTTGCGTACACTTTTTTTATAATAATTTTGTTTTCCCGACAGAGGCTGAATGTATATATTCTTATTTTTCTACCGATTTTAGGCTGAAAATATTCTTGTAAATATTCTATAGCGTTTAGCATTTCTGTTTTCGAATGTCTATAGTGACTAGATGGTGTTAAAGTAATTTGGAGCCAGCCTGCACGTATTGCAGCCTGCTATGACGCACATAACTTCTTGCAGAACTGGTATTTGCTCTCACATGCGAAGATGTTGCTTTTTGGCTAGTTTTGCCGCTTGGAGAAAGGAAGAATTTTATACGGTTTAGTTAAAAACATAAACGATTATGTATTCACAAATTTTCAACACACAAAATTGTATTCTTTTCAACATCTCAGCCTCAGGTTTATTCTTAAAATATTCTTAAAATTTCGTAAATTTTAGCCTCCATATTCTTATAAAATATATTCTTACAAAAAGAAAAGTGTATTTGCGAAATAGGGCTGACAAAAGAACGAATGACAAAAGAAATGAATGAATGATGATAATCTTCTGAATAAGGATGCTTACTTCACTAAGAAAAAGAGATTTACAGAAGGGTCCTTTAAGACTAAAAACGTTTTAAAAATTATAATATACATAATAAAAGTTTCAAAACAATTAGATGTATATCAACAAGGAAACAATGCATTGTGCACATGGAAATCGAAGCCGTCGATTATGATGAAACTTAAGGTCACTCTAAACAGAAAAATACTCTCTAACATCATTTCAGGTTTGAAGGTTTCTAAATAATTTGGTGGTATAGATGTGACTAAAAGGAAGCCGCGGGAATTATTTTTTAAAATTAAAGAAAATTATTGTCGAATATCTACCATTGCTAGGAAACGATTATCATTTCAGTTCACTACAGGTTGGACTGTGGAATCGTTTCCATAATGAAGGTGATCAAGGGTTATGTGCAAGTTCGATAATTACAAGAATGTTTATGGCCATCAGGCCAATTCAGATCTAAAAGCGGCCTTAAGGTGGCCGAACACAGTTTTCGCGCGCGCTTTTGCTGATGCAATTGAGCGCGCGCACAACGATTGCAAAGAGCGATCATTTTATTTACTCAACACCCGCACTATATGCGCTATTT